CCGTCTCCCCTATCTATCTCCCCCACAGGCGGTCCTGGGACAAGAGCGAACCCGCCGGCAGCTACTCCCGCCCGCCTTCCGCCATCAGCCCGGGCCCACGTGACAAGATATTGCTGCGACAGGTCAAGGCCGTGCCCCGGAAGCGGTTCAGCGTGGACACGTCATCGCCGCAGTCGTCTGTCAAATCGCAGACGTGTGGCCTCATGTGAGCTCGAGTCGAGGTCAAGGTCATGTCTCAGATGTGCGTGGTTGTATGAGGTCACGGTCAAGTGTGTCGTCGTCTGAGGTCAAGGTCAAGTGTGTCGTCATCTGAGGTCAAGGTCAAGGTCATGTCTCAAACGTGTGTGTGGTTATGTAAGGTCACAAGGTTTAACACATATGGGCACTGTCAGGCTGAGTACTACACACCTACACACCTATACATGCTGACTACAACAACACACCAACACACCTCTATCCTGACTACATGACAACACACATACACACTTCCGTACTGCCCGCAACACACCTGAACGCTATTACCTCAAAACTAGGACCGTTTGTGCCAATATAATGCACGTACATTGACTTTCTTACTTAATTTGTGGAAGAACATTCGCCTCCTTTATTCATAGCATACAGGTTTTCATTGTTGTTGTTGTTGTTGTTGTTGATGATGTTGTCGTTGTTGTTGCCTCTATCAGACCTAGTGACCAAAACCACAACCCCATCCCATGCACTGACAGCAGGCCGGAAGCACCAACCAACCTGGACCTTTCCATTTCTTCTTTGTGTGTGGGGGGGGGGGGGGGGGTTCTCCATTCTCTCAGTCTTCGATTTATCTGTTTAATTGTTCTTTTTTTGTTTACATAGTAAAAATTTAAAAAAAACAATCCATTTAGCCATTTCCTAATTTCTGTCCTAGTTTCCTTTATTTGAGTGTGTTATATATAATTATCCATGTAGTCAATCTCCCCGTTGTGTGATAATATAGAATAATATACAACTGTTCATTTCTTGAATGATTTAGTTTTTAAAATATACTGATTTTATATTATATCTATTTCGTAAACCATCTGTTTTGATATATAGATATACAAATATGTATTACTAAATAAAATATGTATAGGGCGCCCATTC